GTAACTGAACTCCAGGATGAACATTTCCCATCAACCACCACCCTCTGTCTTCTTACAGCTAGCCAATTTCTGATCCAAACCGCTAAATCACCCTCAATCCCATGCCTCCATATTTTCTGCAATAGCCTACCATGGGGAACCTTATCAAACGCTTTACTGAAATCCAAATACACCACATCAACCGCTTTACCCTCATCCACCTGTTTGGTCACCTTCTCGAAGAACTCAATAAGGTTTGTGAGGCACGACCTACCCTTCACAAAACCGTGCTGACTATCCCTAATGAAATTATTCCTTTCTAGATGATTATAAATCCTATCTCTTATAATCCTTTCCAACACTTTACCCACAACCGAAGTAAGGCTCACTGGTCTATAATTACCAGGGTTGTCTCTACTCCCCTTCTTGAACAAGGGGACGACATTTGCTAGTCTCCAGTCTTCTGGCACTATTCCTGAAGACAATGACGACATAAAGATCAAAGCCAAAGGCTCTGCAATCTCCTCTCTAGCTTCCCAGAGAATCCTAGGATAAATCCCATCCGGCCCAGGGGACTTATCTATTTTCACACCTTCCAGAATTGCTAACACCTCCTCCTTATGAACCTCAATCCCGTCTAGTCTAATAGACTGTATCTCAGTATTCTCCTCGACAACATTGTCTTTTTCCTGCGTGAATACTGACGAAAAATATTCATTTAGCACCTCTCCTATCTCTTCGGACTCCACGCACAACTTCCCACTACTGTCCTTGACCGGCCCCAGTCTTACTGTAGTCATTCTTTTATTCCTGACATACCTATAGAAAGCTTTAGGGTTTTCCTTGATCCTACCTGCTAAAGACTTCTCATGTCCCCTCCTGGCTCTTCTTAGCTCTCTCTTTAGGTCCTTCCTGGCTAACTTGTAACTCTCAAGCGCCCTCACTGAACCTTCACGCCTCATCTCTACATAAGCCTCCTTCTTCCTCTTGACAAGAAATTCAACTTCTTTAGTAAACCACGGTTCCCTCGCTCGACCACTTCCTCCCTGCCTGACAGGTACATACTTCTCAAGGACACGCAGTAGCTGTTCCTTGAACAAGCTCCACATTTCAATTGTGCCCAGCCCCTGCAGTTTCCTTCTCTATCCTATGCATCCTAAATCTTGCCTCTTCGCCTCATAGTTGCCTTTCCCCCAGCTATAACTCTTGCCCTGCGGTATATACTGATCCCTTTCCATCGCTAAAGTAAACGTAACCGAATTGTGGTCACTATCACCAAAGTGCTCTCCTACCTCCAAATCTAACACCTGGCCTGGTTCATTACCCAGTACCAAATCCAATGTGTCCTCGCCTCTTGTTGGCCTATCTACATACTGTGTCAGGAAACCCTCCTGCACACATTGGACAAAAACTGACCCATCTGAAGTACTCGAACTATAGCGTTTCCAGTCAATATTTGGAAAGTTAAAGTCCCCCATAACAACTACCCTGTTACTTTCGCTCCTATCCAGAATCATCTTTGCAATCTTTTCCTCTACATCTCTGGAACTTTTCGGAGGCCTATAGAAAACTCCCAACAGGGTGACCTCTCCTTTCCTGGTTCTAACCTCAGCCCATACTACCTCAGTAGACGAGTTCTCATCAAACGTCCTTTCTGCCACCGTAATACTGTCCTTCTTAATTACTCTCTCCATTTAAATGCCTTTTGATTCTTCTAACCAAAGTACATATTACAAACAATCGGGGTCTTTGTGGAACATCACTGGTCACAGATTCCCAGTCGGAAAAACACCCTTCCACTGCTGCTCTCTGTCTTCTGTGGCTAAGCCAGTTCTGTATTCTTCAACAGTGGCAAAGGATTCAACTAAGCTTTCAAAAGGGAATTGGAAAAATACTTGAGATGGAAGAATGACTTGGGACTGGGATGAAACAAATAGATTTTGAAGAATTAGATGCCATTTTAATGAAACATATAAAATTCTTAGTGGGTTTGACAGGGGAGATGTGGAAAGATTGTTTCCCCTTGTGGGACAGTCTGGGATCAGGGAGCAGCATCGCAGAGTAAGGGGCTATTTAGTTAAGACAGAGTTGAGGAGGAATTTCTTCTCTTAGAGGGAAGTGAATCTGTGGAATTGTTTACCGCAGGGGGCTGTCGAGGCTGGGTCATTAAGCACATTCAGGGCTGATACATATTTTTAATCAGGGAGAGAATGAAAGGTTATGGGGAAAAGGCAGGAAAGTGAAGCTGAGGGTTATCAGATCAGCTACGATCACATTGAATGGTGGAGCAGATGAAATCGGCCAAAGAGGAGATGCAGAAAGACTGTTTCTCCTTGTGTGAGAGTCTGAGACCAACAGGCACCATCTCAGTGTAAAGGGCCACTCCTGCCCCCATGTCTAATGGTTTTTTAGATTTTTCAAAGGACCAGCATAGTTTAATGAGATGGATGGTGTCCCTGTAGCATTAAATCTCTGATTGTTCGAAAGGCTGTAGGTGCAGCACATCAGCATGTCGTCATATCTTCTCAGGGACAAACTGTAAACTGATGAGACAGACAGATCTCACCTCTGCCTCGCTGACTTTCACTTTCAATCTGATTGGAGTGCCATCATCCATGTAATCCTCAGCATGGACCTCCACCAGCCCATCCCTCTGCTGACATCGATGGGCAAACTCCTTCAACATCTCCTTCACAGCGACTTCCGCATTATGCTGTCAGATCAACAGGCATCCAATGCGTCAACATTCAAAGAAATGTTATTTTCTGCAGCACTTATCATGAACTTTCGGACATTGGTCAGTATTTTAGAATCAAAGAGGCAGTTCTTTGTCATATGTGATGACAGTTGTACTGAGATAATGCAGCTGCCAAACTGTACAGATCCCACAGGCTGCGATTCAATGAGGAAGAAGATAATGTTTTGTTACCTGAATACTGACTAGGATATTGGAAAGCCCTGCTTGTTATCAAATTACTAGCTTACAGATCTTTCATATCGACCTGACAGGGCAGATGAGGTCTCAGTTTAGCAACTCATCCAAGAGTTATTAACACTGAGTGCAGCCCAACAGTGCCCACTCCCTCAGCACTGTCCCTCCGACAGTACCCGCTCCCTCAGCACTGTCCCTCCGACAGTGCGGTGCTCCCTCAGCACTATCCCTCCTTATTGAGTCATGGAGCAGGTCTGAGGGACAGAGTGTATGAACCAATCATATTTCTGGGGCCCAACCTGTTGAAGTCTTACCTGAATGTGGGCCATGTAAGCTTGGACCACCTCCAACCCGTACACATCGATCAGCTCATTCACCAGTTGGATCCCTTTCTGATTGGCTGCTACCTGTGCCCGCAGATCTGACAGATTGTCATGGAGATTGCGTGTCCCGCTGCTGCCTGGGATCTGTGCTGGGGCCTGGAGTGCCTTGGTAACAGCTGCAAGTGACACAGAGTTAACAAAGGATGACACTGGTGGGATGGTGAAATGGGCAGCGGCACGTCTGGTACAGTTCATAGTGGAGACAAAACATATTATATGGAAACACTTTAAATGATAGATGGCACAATTTTGCAAAATCATATTGGTCATTTAGGTTTATAAATAGATGAATTATAAACATGATACAATGATCACTTTCTCCACTGAAACTCAATCCACTGTGCCTGTCTCATTTGTCCAACAATATATCCTGTCTTGTTGGATTGGCCACATACTACTCTAGGAAGCTCTCCTGAATACAATCCAGGGAGATATGCCTCTCTCTGCCCCTTACACTGTCAGTATCCCAGTGTATACACAGAGGATGCAAAATCCTCATTCTAATTATGATGGTGGTCAATGGATATTTTTCAAACTGGAGAAAGATGTATAGCAGAGGTCAGGAGTCAGTATGGGGACCCTTGCTTTTCCTGGTAGATATTAATGATATGGATTTTGGTGTGCAGGGGACAATTTCAAAGTTTATGGATGACACTAGACTGGGGAGACTTGTAAACTGCGAGAGGGACAGTTTGGAACTCCAACAGGACGTTGACATGTTGGTGGAGTGGGCAGCAAGGGGGCAGATGAGGTTTAATGCAGAGAAACATGAGGTGGTGCACTTTGGTAGGAAGAACATTGAAAGACAATGTAAAATAGGCTGTACAATTCTATAGGGGCTGCAGGAGCAGAGGGTCCTGAGGGTATATGTCACAAATCACTGAAGGTGTCAGGACAGGGGGAGAGAGCAGTTAATAAACAGACAGTGCCCTCGGTTTTATTAATTGGGGCATAGAGTACAAGAGCCAGGAGGTGATGTTGAACTTGTACAAGACATTTGTTAGACCTCAGCGGAAGTATATTGTACAGTTGTGGGTGCCACATTATAGGAAAGATGTGAATGTATTAGAGAGAGTGTAGAAGTGATTTACAGGAATGGTTTCAGGAATGAGAAACTTCAGTCAGGAGGATCGACTGAAGAAGTTGAGACTGTTCTCCTTGGAGAGGAGATTTGATAGAGGTTTTCATAATCAGGAGTGGGCTGGACAGAGTAGATGTTCCTGCCTGTAAAAGAGAAAAGAACAAGAGGGGCATAGATCTAAAGTGAAGCAAGGGTGATAAGAGAAAAAACGTTTTCACTCATGAGTAGCTAGGGTCTGGAATGCACTGCCTGAAAATGTGGTGGAGGCAGCTTTATTAGGTATTCAAGAGGGACACTGGATGGTCATTTGTATGGAAATGGTGTGCGGGGTATGGGGAAAAGGCAGGAGGTTGGCACTGGGTAATAGAACCGGTGCCAGCAGGTTGGGCCAAATGGCCTCCGCCTGCTTCACAACAATTCTGTTACTCTAATGGTGAAGCTGTGGTGTAATGGTCACATCGCTGGCCTAGTAAACCAGGTAGATGTTTTGGGGACATGAGTTTGTATCTCGTCATGTCAGGTGATGAAGGGGCTATGCTCCGAAGGCTTGTGTTTTCAAATAAACCTGTTGGATTATAACCTGGCGTTGTGTGATTTCTGACTTTAGAGAAGGAAATGTGTTGTCCTCACCTGGCCTGGCCTACATATAGCTCCAGACCCACAGCTCACTCTCAACTGCTGTTTGAAATGCCCCGGCAAGATACTCAAATGAAGGGCAATTAGGGACAGGCAATAAATGCTGGCTCACCCAGTGACACCCACATCCCATCAACGAAAAGAATAATAAAAACAAAGCAATCGTATTTGTTACTATTATTGAAATGTGCAGAACTGCATGGGAACACCGCACCCTGCAAGTTCCCCTCCAAGCCACTCACTATCCTGACTGGGAAATATATCGTCGTTCCTTCACTGTTGCTGGGTCAAAATCCTGGAATCCCCTTCCCTCCGGGTATTGTGGGTCAACCCACAGCACATGGGCAACAGTGGTTCAAGCAGGCAGCTCAGCACCACCTTCTCAGGGACAATAAAGGCTGGCCAAGCCAGCAATTCCCACATCCAGGGAACAAATAATCTTTAAAATAAATTCTGGGAGCCTCTTTTCAAGAAAGATGAAAAGGCATTAGAGGATTTGTACCCAGAATACTCCAGGGATAAGGGATTTCCATTGTGAGTGAAACATGGAAGAGTCAGGACAGTTCTCCTTGGAACAGAGAAGGGTTAAGAGGTGACACAGCAGATGTTTATAAGATGATGAGAGATTTTGAAATAGTGAACAGTGAGAATTTATTCCCTCTACTGAGTAGGTCCATAACATAAGGTCAAAGCTTCAAGGTCACTAGCAGTATATCTTGAAGGAAGATGAGGCAAAATGATTTCAATAAGATTGTTGAAATCCAGTATTCTCAACCTGAAAATCATTTCACAATCATTTTAAATGGAGAACTGAACAGGTTCTTGAGAATCAGGGACTTAAAGATTCAGACCAAAAGCAACGATGTGGGTCAAGGCACAGTTGCTTTTTAAAGAGCCAGAAAGAATGATAACCTGCTGCACTATAAATTTCTGAGGACAGTTTATCTGAACAGACTAATCTTCCTGTGACTGCAAAAGATTAAAGGGTGATCTGCTCAGGGGAATTCTTGTAACGAAACAATTCAATTGCATAAAGAAGGAATATATTAATATTATTTGGGAACTTATGTCCTAGAGGGAAAAGGGTTTTCCTTTTCAGTTCCATGAAAATGATTTGTTCTTTTAAAGAGTCAGAGACACAATTTGCAGCATTGGGTCAAAACAGCGTGCCCAGGAAGTCATGTGACTTAAGCTAAATAGCTGGATAAGCTACTTGGCCAAATAATGCTGAAGCGTGTACTAAGTTAAAATTTGTGATCCCGAGAGAAACAGATGGAGAGGCTGGAGGGAAGAATCTGCTTCAGTTCAACAGAAAAGATTCATACCAGAAGATGTACTATTGAGCAGCCTCAAAATAGCTGAGATAAGCTCTGAGGTTTTCCTGGAGTCCAGTGACCAAACAATGTCTGTCTGTCTCAAGGGTGAGACGGTAAGAGAGAGAATCACATCTGGTGAATGTGCAGAAATTCAATGAAAGGAATTGTATGCAGATTTATCAGTTGATTAATAAATCTTACAGTGAAGGAAGGGCATAATACTTCACTGGGGTTGAGTGACTGTAAAGGGATATTGCTGGGAAAATGGATTGAAACTTATACACCTTTGTATTTCTTGCTTTTCTTTTGTGTAATGGCCTTATGTTGTTTTTTTAAAGTACATTGGCAACCTCATATGAATATGTTCAGTGACTGACCACCACAGTAGCCAAATTGCAAAAGAAAAATAAACTGTATGATCTACCAAGCCAGGTTTCACTCTGGAATCTGACTTGTCCAGCATTAATATCAGCTGGGATTATAACAATAACATTAAACAGAAACTAGTTCCATTGGTGAGATGACTAAGGGTGTCTTAAAGTCAAGGCAGGCCACTTAGAAGTTATGTCAGGGAGTACAGGGCAGTGGAAATCTGGGAATCTCTCCCCCGGAAAAGTTGGTGGGGGTTAATTGGAACTTTCAAGACTGAAATAGATCAACTTCTGAAATAAAAATCAAAGTGCTGGAAAAACTCAGCAGGTCTGGCCGAATGTGTAGAGAGAGAGATACAGAGTTAACGTTTCAGATCAATCATAAGAACTGCTAGATTTTGATTGGGTGAAAGAGATTAAAACCCGAGCTGGGTAAATGGGACTGATGCTCAGATGGTCTATTTGAATTGAAGAACAGGTTTGAGGGGCTGAATGGCCTCCTCCTGCTCCTCACTGCCAACGTATCACAGAAATTGCCACTTTTCGGGTCAGTGCCACTTTTCGGGTCAGTAATTCTGACTGTAGAGCACAAATGTAATTTACCAAAACACAGAAAGCAGCAGACAATCTTTTGATGAATTAATTCTCACATTTGTGGGCTCCTATTAGACATCTGCGCACACTGAAGGGGTCAGGGCAATAGGAGAAAGGGAAGTGGTGGAGAGGTCACTCAGTGCTGACTGAGATAACACAGTGCGGAGCTGGAGGAACGCAGCAGGCCAGGCAGCATCAGAGGAGCAGGAAAGTTGACGTTTCGGGTCGGGACCCTTCTTCATTTCTGAGGGTCCCGACCCGAAATGTCAGCTGACCTGCTCCTCTGATGCTGCCTGGCCTACTGTGTTCTTCCAGCTCCACACTGTGTTATCTCTGACTCCAGCATCAGCAGTTCTTACTGTCTCTCAATGCAGTCTGACCCTGGATGATTTGTTTCACCTCAGCCCCACCCTCCCAAATTGAGGGGGCCCTCATTGAGGTCAGATTACTCAATTGAGTGGGGCTGAGCTCAATGAGGACATTAACAGAGCAATGTGGGATCTCATGCCCCCACTCACCCTCCTCCTGGAAGACCCCATCCTTCACTAGCTTGAACGAAGTGAAGACAGCTCCTTCCTCCTGCAACGATTTGGAGTGAGGTGGCATGGAGCCAGGGGTGATGCCACCAATGTCAGCATGGTGCCCTCGGCTTGCTACAAAAAACACCGCGTGAGAAACACCTTTTCGAAAAACCTGTGGGATGTAATAATCAAGGGGAATATCCAAGTTAAAGAAAGAAATACAAGCCTGCACTTCCAAAGCGCCTTCCATGACCTCAGGTTGGAGGCAATGGCCTAGTGGTATTATCGCTGGACTGTAAATCCAGAGACCCAGATCATGTTCTGGGGACCTGGATTCAAATCCCACCAGGACAGATGGTAGGATTTGAATTCAACAAACAGCTGGAATTAAGAATCTAATGATGACCATGAATCCATTGTCAATTGTTGGGAAAAACCCATCTGGTTCACTATTATCCTTTAGAGAAGGAAACTGCCATCCTTACCTGGTTTGTCCTACATGTGAATCTAGACACACAGCAATGTGGTTGACTCTGAACTGCCCTCTGGGCAATTAGGGATGGACAATAAATGCTGCCGAACCAGCAACACCCTCACCCCGTGAATGAATAAAAAAATGACGTTGTCCCGGTTGTCTTTACAGCCAAAGCAGCACTCCTGAAGTTTAGTCCCTGTTGCAATGTAGAAAATGCAACCGCTATATCTTTGCACAGCAGAATCCCAAGTATCGACATTATGATGACAAGACGACAGTACATCACAGGAAAATAATGTTCGGTCCATCAGGAACTGTGCTAGCTCTCTGCAAGAACACCTTTCTGCAGCCCTGCAAAATTGTCTTAGCTTAATGCTGGTTTCCCTTCTGAGATTCATGATTGAATTGGCTTTTACCACCCTCTCAGACAGTACGTTCTGATTCCTAAACACTCATAGTGTACAAATTACTCTCCTAGTCATCTCTGGTGCCTTTGCCAATCACTGCAAATCAGTGCCCACTGGTTGCCAACCCTTCCATCAATGGGGATAGTTTCTCCCTTCTGACTGTGAAGAACTCTGATTTGATGGGCACAGTGCAGAGGAAGATTTACTCTGTACCTAACTCTGTGCTGTCCCTGTCCTGGGAGTGTTTAATGCGGGACAGTGCAGAGGGAGCTTTGCTCTGTATCTAACCCCGTGCTGTCCCTGTCCTGGGAGTGTTTGATGGGGGGGGCGGACAGTGTAGCGGGAGCTTTACTCTGTATCTAACCCCGTGCTGTCCCTGTCCTGGGAGTGTTCGATGGGGGTCAGTGTAGTGGGAGCTTTACTCTGTATCTAGCCCCATGCTGTCCCTGTCCCTGGGAGTGTTTGATGGGGGACAGTGTAGAGGGAGCTTTACTCTGTATCTAAGCCCGTGCTGTCCCTGTCCCTGGGAGTGTTTGTCGGGGGACAGTGTAGAGAAAGCTTTACTCTGTATCTAGCCCCGTGCTGTCCCTGTCCCTGGGAGTGTTTGATGGGGGACAGTGTAGAGAGAGCTTTACTCTGTATCTAACCCCGTGCTGTCCCTGTCCTGGGAGTGTTCGATGGGGGGGACAGTGTAGAGGGAGCTTTACTCTGTATCTAGCCCCGTGCTGTCCCTGTCCCTGGGAGTGTTTGATGGGGGACAGTGTAGCGGAAGCTTCCCATATATTTGCTGCCCTTGTCCTTCCAGGCGGTTGGTTGAGTAGCGGACAGTGTTGTGGATCTTACCGGAGTGATAACCGTCAGGTCAGGAAGATGGCTTCCACCCGCACTGGGATGGTTACTCAGGATAACATCGCCTTCTTTGAGGTCATCACCGAGATGATTAATCTGTCAGGGGGAGAAAATGGAAATCAGATGGAGTCCAGACATTTTGCCAGCTTCAGAACCCTTTCACCTTGCCCCCACCCCCTTGTTGCCCGGTCAACCAGCTTAAAAACGGGTGAGACTTCACGAGTAAGCCCACCCTCGGTAACACAAGCGGGCTGCTAAGCTCCTGTGGGCTTCACAGCTGAGAATGGTCCTTTCCTTGCACTGGTTACCAAAAACTGCACAGGAGGAGGTAAAATGGGTGGGGAGGAGGTTTTCAAGAAATTATTGTTGGCTGGTTGAGAAAAAAAAACTTTGAAAGGCGCATGGCTTTGTACGTAGAGGCACAGCTTCCAAAAACAGGGAGGTTATAGTAAAAACATTTTATGTCATCGGTTAGGCTGGAGCACTGTCTCTTTCTGATCACTGTACTTTAGGAATAGTGTCCAGTTCTTGGAGAGAGTTCAAATGAGACTCACTGGAATGGTTCCAGAGATGATGGATAAGCTGGCAAAGAATAAATCTCACTGAGCAGGAGAAAAACTGAAGCAATACGGTCAGTGGATGCAGAATCTTTAAATATTTTTAAGATGGAGGCAGATAGATTCTTAATTCCCAAGGTGGATGGAAGATTATTGGGGATAAGCAGGAATGGAGAGTTGAGGCTAAAACCAGATCAGCCACAGTCTTATTTTTGATTTGATTTGATTCTTGATTGTCACATGAACCTAGGTACAGTGAAAAGTTTTCTTTTCCATGCAGTACAGGCAGATCATACCATACAAAGTGCATCAGGGTAATAGAACAGAGCGAGGAATACAATGTTACGGCTGCAGAGAAGGTGCAGAAAGAGCGAGATCAACTTTAAATTTAAAATTTGAGAGTTCCATTCAGAAATCAAATAACAACGGGGAAGAAGCTGTTCTTGAATCTGTGCGTACAAAAACTTTTGTATCTTCTGCCCAATGGAAGAGTTTGGAAGAGGTTATAACTGGGGTTGGTGGGACCTTTGATAATGTTGCCTGCCTTCCAGAGGCAGCAAGAAATATAGATGGAGTCCGTGGGTGGAAGGTTGGCTTGTGTGATGGACTGGGGCTGTGTTCACAACTCTCTGTAGTTTCTTACGGTCCTGGCCAGAGCAGTTGCTGTACCAAGATGTGATGCATCCAGCTAGAAAGCTTTATCATGCATCTATAAATTTGGTAAGAGTCACTGTGGACATGCTTGTTGAATGGTGGAGCAGGCTCGAAGGGCCAAATGGCCTACTCTTGTACTTTATTCTTATGTTAATTTATTTCATAGAGGCAAAGGCCATGAGGGCATTTAATAGAACACACAGAAAGAAACTATTAGCAGTGGGAGATGGGCACAGGTTTAAAATGGTTGACAAAAAGAACCAGAGGTAAAAAGGGAAAACATTTGTTTATGCAATGAGTTGTTGAGAGCTGGAATACACTGCCTAAAAGGGCAGTGGAAGTAGTTTCAATAATTACTTTGAAAAGGGATTTAAATAAATATTTGAAGGAGGTACATGGAAAGATTGGAGGAGTGGGACTAACAGTACAGATTCTCTCTCAGAGCTAGCACAAGCTCGAAGTGATGAATGGTCTGTATCATTCTACATGACTGTAGAGTAATTTAGAAAGGGGAAGTGTAAAACTGTGGGATGTACAACAGGACAATCCCTGGCCAGACTGAAGGGGAATAATCTGAAGAGTTATATCTGACTCAATGCAGTAACTCTGCTTCTCACTCCAAAGATGCTGCCATATCTGCTCCAGCAATTTCTGATGTTACTTCAGATTTCCAGCACCCACTGTGTTTTTCTGCTCCACCCTCCTTGTCTGTTCCACACAGCCTCCATTCCCTTGTCTATCAAAACAGAACTGGGCTTTCAAAGAAGGGTCTAGGCCCGAAACGTCAGCCTTCCTGCTCCTCTGATGCTGCTTGGCCTGCTGTGATCATCCAGCTCTACACCTTGTTATCTCAGGAGATTAGATATTCCCAGTCCTGCTGTTTCTATTTGCCACCCCCCACCCCCACTACATGACAGAGGAGTGTGACTATGGTAAAGTCACTGTCCCTGCCCCCAACCCCAACTGAAGCTCCTTGTTGAACTCTGACCTTACCTGGAACTGCACAGTTTCCTGCATTGCTCCCAGGTGTACGGGGATGTGGGGGGCATTGGACACCAGGCCCCCTGTGGGGCCAAACAGTGCGCAAGAGAAGTCCAGTCGCTCCTTGATGTTGGTGGAGATGGCTGTTCTCTGTAGTGTATGACCCATCTGCTCTGTAAGGAAAGGGAACAGTCAGGATTAATCAGTCAATCCCAGGGCACGAATCAGTCACTTGTGACTGCAGGAGGGTAAGTGAACCATCTCCTAAATGCATTCCTGCTGTGAGCATATTGTTACCTATTTGTCTCGTACACTCTCTGTAAGGATTGACTTGGCTGAGATATCAGCTTACTGCTGTTTATTCCATATTCTCAAACCGATATACCATCGCATCCTTACTGGAGGAGGATGAAGATATATGGCATTATCTTACACAAATCCAATGGTCTAGTCCCTCCCTGCTCCTGTCAGTTGTACCTGCGATGCTCATGAAGCGATGTGAAAAGATGGAGAGCTGGATTGTATCCAGTCTGGGTCCGACAGTCTGTAGCTTCCCTCTGCCGATGGTGATCTGGATATCACCAAGCTTAGTGACACCAGCGATACAGTCTGGTTCAACCAGGATGGTGCTGGCAAGTGAGAAGGAAAAGAACTCATATCAACAACCTGCACTTCCCCAGCACTGTTAGCATTGTAAAACATTACTGAGCACTTCATGGGGAACGTTACCACATAAAGATTGACTGTGAGCCACATGAAGACGTACTCAGGGCAGTTGTTTTTGGGGATCTAGGTGCTGAAGGCACAGTCACCAATGGTGGAGCAAAATAAGAGGTTACAGTTAAAGCGTTGCAGATAACTCAAAGGGTGAAACAGACAGAAGAAGTGTCAGTGGTGGTGAGGATGCACTGATGGATCAGATTGACTGTAATGGCATTGGACTATAACTCAGAGACCCTCACCCTGCCAGGACTTGTGCCCTGGGAATATGGTTTTAATGGAATTTCAATTCAGTGTCAGAAAAGATTGGAGTTGAAAGTTAGTGTCAGTGTTGGTGACTGTGAGAGTATTGATTGTTGCAAAAATCCATCTGGTTTACCCATGTCGTTTAGGTAAGGGCACACTCCTTCCTTATCCTGTCACATCCTCCACGTGACTTCCAGACACTGACTGACAGACATGCGCATACACACAGGCGCGTACTCACAGACACACATACACACACACACACACAAACTCTCTCACACATACACACACACTCTCTCACACACACACATACACACACACTCTCTCTCACACACACTCTCTCTCTCTCACACACACACGCACACACACACTCTCTCACACACACACACTCTCTCTCTCACACACACACACACACACACTCTCTCTCTCTCACACACACGCACACACACACTCTCTCACCCACACACACACACGCGTACACACACACTCTCTCACACATACACACACACTCTCTCTCTTACACACACACATACACACACACTCTCTCTCTCACACACACATACACACACACTCTCTCTCTCACCCACACACGCACACACACACA